CCACTCTCTCCTAATTGACCCTAAATATGATCTTAGCCGTCAATCATAGAGTTAGAGCTATAAATAGGAAAATGAGGGTTGAGCCAAGGGTTCTTTTTTTTTTTTTAATTCTCTCTCCCGAAGCCTCCTCAAGAAGATATCTCTCGTGGGTGAGCTCTCCTTACTCCCTTCCTCCTTTCCCAAGTGAATCTCGCCTCCAAGACCCCATTAGTGACGATCCTCCGGCGAGATCAAGGCTAGATTCGTCCAAGGCCTCGATCTGGTTGATCCAGAGCTCGTTTGATCATGGTTTCAACTAAAGAAACATACGATAACAGTCTATAAGCTCAACCATGCCAAGAATCTGAAGATCCAATGGTAAAAACTCCTTAAAACTGCTAGCATAGGTCTAACACATAAGGTAAAATAGCATTTTGAAAAACTGCTTTTAAGCCAAACAAACACCACCCCATGGATGCTCTTCATAATTTTTATCTATGTTTAAAATTTCATTAAGATCCATCACACAAATCAAGAGAATGAAGCCTATTTTGTTTTAGGGTTACGTATTAATGCGTTCATGAGCTGCGTGCTTTCTAGGTCGTTGATCTTGAGATGAAGCTTTTCTAGATAGCGTCATAAAACTGCTAGCATAGATCCATCACACAAATCAAGAGAATGAAGCTTTTCTAGATAGCGTCATCCCGCAATTCTGTTTAACCGCGCTGATGAATCCTATGTTCGTGTAACGGTTTGCCTCGATCTCTGCCGTCCATTCGAAACCATGCGAGATCCGACAGTTGGCAGGTGACGCTGATGTAGATTAGTGGAAACCGCGTGGGCCCAACTGCCGCTGCAATCATTAGACAATGATTAGCGGCGACGCCAATCATTGCTCATGATTGGCTGTCGCGTGGTTTCAAACAAGCAAATCCCAGGCCGCTGTGCGGCCCTCGCCTTTTTTTATTTAATTAATATTTTAATTATTTTAAAATATATTATATTAAAAATTCATTATAAATTATTTTAAAATCTAAAAAATGTGTATAATATACCAAATCGATTGTTTTTTCGTTCTCTTTAATTTAAAAGTAATTTTAATTAAAAATATTATGTATATTTTTTAAGTTATATTCATTATTAAATATTAGTTATTTTTAAATTAATAATTAGTTTAAATAATCAAAATATTTTATAAAATTTTAAAAATCTTATTAAGATTACAACAACAACAACAACATCAAGCCTTTATCCCACTACGTGGGGTCGGCTACATGAATCCTTTAATTTTGATGAGCAATACCTCTAAATTTTCAAAAAAAATCAATTTTAAATTAAAAATAGTTTCATATATCAAAAATTATTTTTCTGTTGTGTTTATGTATTATTTAATTAGTTGATTATTTAAATATTATTTAAATAATTAATATCTTAATTATTTTGAAGTTAAAAATTATTTTTAAACTTCTTTTTGAAATTGTCGTTCAGGTGACCAGTGGATCGCTCAATAATAATATGAATGATGAAATTAATTTTAATTATGATATTTTTAAACTCATATATTTATTTAATTGATATATATTTTAAATTATTTTAAAATTACATATTATTAAATTACTCTAATTTTGAGAGATCCACTTCATGGAATTTCAAACATAGATCATTCATATGAATAACATTCATGAGAGGGATTAATGGGTGGTTGAGTTCCAATCATCCACTAATCACATCGTAAAGCGTGCTTAATTACTATATTTTACATGTGTAGGACACACGAGCACTTAGCTTAGACCCTCCTAGATCATAGGATTGGGGTGTTTACTATTTTTATGCATTTTTTCCTCATGTTATCCTAATGGTTGGTCCAAAACTTACTTTAAACTTATATAGCGTAGCGACACCCTAAGGACAATAATTAAGAACCCGTCTAGCAAATTTAGAAAAATTCTAGAGGCTGGGATAGATCCCTAATTGACATAAAACTTTCAAAATTTAAACTTAGTGAAATCATAAGCCTCCCAAAATTTTCTAGAAATTTTTAGAACCCTTTAAGCCCCTTAATTAACAAACCCTAATTTAACCCGTTAATTAAGCCCCAGTAACTTCAAAAAATTATAATAAATACATTTCAACTCAAAAAGTTACCCGTAAGACCTCGAACTCTTTAAAATTTAGCCCTTAACCTTAGATAATTAAGGCCCCCTTAATTGGACTTTAATCCGTGCCTTAATTCAACTTTAATTAAAAATTGCCTTTTTGTCCATATTAAATAATTAAAAATTATTAAAAATTCTATTTTTTTCTCAAACACTTGGGAACACTTCGTTATGTCATTTATGACCTTTGGAGTTGATTCCAACGATTTGGAGCTGATTTGGATTAAAACCCCTAAGGTACCCTTTTTTTAAGTAATTTTAATAATTCATTAATTGTCTAAAACTCCTAAAATTCATAACTTGGTCTAGAAAACTCCAAATCCAGCAAACTCAAAGCCTAATTACTCCTCTTAAGGACTAATATTTAATTAAAATGCTAGAACCCCCAAACTTTGTCTATTTTCAATAGTGACATTTTGGACCCGCCTTAGCCTAGCATATAAGAGAACATTGGACTTTCTAAAATTGACTAATACAATTTCAACTTCCAAGATAACTACCCTAAGCATTAAAATAAATCAACAAACTAAATTAATTAAAATTGATTTTAATTCATTAATATTTAAACATTAATTAAAGTTTCTTTTTAGACATTTAATAAATCTAAACTCTAGACAACTTGAACTAACTACCCGACATATGATATATTCAAAGCTACACAAGCTTACTACACACACATAGGTTTACTAGGGCACCAATTCTAGCTCTACGATTAGGTCCGATGTTTACTTTTTTTAACTCTATGTGATGTGATGTTCTGTGTGGCATGCTTGATTGGTTGATTTATTCTGCTTTGATGTGATGTGATTGATATGATATTTATTTCATTATTATGCTCTCTATATCCTTCTTTTGATATGATTTGTACGTTAGATTTCCTATGGGCTAGGGCCGCTTTTATGCAAATCCATTATTATGTAGATGGTCACGCTCATGCAACACTAAAATAAGCTTTAAATACTAACCTTTGAATGTCAGTGTGAGCCGTGCATGTTGACTAAGCCACTTGAGCTCTTCTTTCCCTATGAGTAGGAACTTCTTAGTCCCCCTTTGTGTGTCAATCCTCCCTTTTATGTAAAAAATCATGTCGAATCCTTAATCGAGTTTTCTAGGGCCCTAAGCTCGAGATGTAATTAACCACGAGGGCTTACGCCCATGAGAAATGAAACTCCACCATCAAATAAACCCCACTTCTGCTGATGTATCAAGTGAAAAAAAACTCATTATTTTGATCAGGTCATACATATTAATAAACATCAAGGTGCGCTTTTGATAGCCTCTATCATCAATGGTTAGTCATATGTACAATCTAATTTGCTCTTCCATTGGCCCATTTACAAGGAGCGCAGAGGCCTGCTATCGTCTCTATCCCTCAGCGTGATGATTTCATGTACACTCTACACTATAACCATGGATGTCCTTTCGAATGTCCACATCTAGATGTAGATAATAGACTTAAAGTCCCCAGAAGTATCCTTCGGTTAAAACCACCTGATAATTTTTTTTAAGTTAATAAATTTTTTGCTAAGAAGTATTTATATAACATTTGCTGAATACGCACATAATAATTTCTCAAACAATTAAGAGATTCCAAAAATGGCAAATTTGTTAGTTCTCTTAAAGGAAACTATGTTTTTTTAAATATATTATAATAAAAGTTAAATTCAGCCATTTATTTACTTTAAATTAAAATGAGACTTCATTTATAAAATTAATTTCAAATATGATATTTATTTAATCAACTAAACTTGGCTTTTTACAAAAAAAAAAATTATAAATAGCAATAATTTTAATTTACATATTATGAAAATAATATAATGCTTTCTCACTAGATCCATTCAAATATCAGACCTCCTCCTATGACTTTAAAGTGGTCTCAGCCTCATCTTGATGAGTACAAAGTTTAACATTCATGTTTCTTTCTCCACTGCTGGTTATGGTCGTGGTGATTTACTTCAGGATCACAGTGGTATGATAGTGTAAATTTATATCCATACCATCAATATAATTCTTTGCATTCAGATTTCATCTATAAATTATAGGCATAATATATTAAAATTTGAGATATTAAATATATAAATAGCATGATATAACATGGTATGTATGTAAATCCCACTAAAATTTATTATGCAACATGTAAAATAATTATAAAAAAAATCCCTCTCGTACATTGTATCACAGATATTGATTGAGGAGACTACAACATCATAGTGCTTGGTTTGTAAATTGTAAGGATCTATATCTTCAATGGAACAGTTCAGCTTCAATATCTTCTCAAAGAAAAGCTAATCGATTGCATTTTATACAAAAATAGTTGCGTTAATAAATATATCATCAGAGACCACTAAACATGGATTGTTAATGAATGCCAAAAACTTAGCGTAGCGTTATTAGGTTCTCTATCCTCTTCTGACTGAAGAAATTAGCTTTAAATTTATTAATTTTCATCATAACGAAGGAACTGAAACTTCAATAACTCTGGATCAAAAGTTCACTACACTAAATGTACCTAAAATTTGCAATGGTGGTTCTAAACTAAATATAAGAACGCATTTGATAAGTTCGTTCCATAACTCTATTGAACAAAGAAGATGCACATTTTGTATGAATGCAATGTGTATTCAGGAAGATTTCAAGCTTGAACACCGCAAGGGAGCAGGTTTCCTCTTTCACTAACAAAAGTTAAGGTAAGTCTATTATTATGTGAGGTGTCCGGCTGCGCCATGCCACGTCACTCAAATGCACTGGGCCCGGGTGATATGGCGCGTCCAAATTCTCCTTCGAACGAATCCGGACGCCGCACGTAATAATTTTCCATTCGTAACAGGCATTGAATGCTCCATTATCTGTTTTGACTCATAAAAATAACAAAGGGAAAAGCAATGGTTTTCACCAAAAGCTTGCTATGATTATTTATGGGATGAATAGTTTCGTCATACGATTCACGGTGCAGAAAAAAAATGAAAACCAGGCGCAGAACTGGATAAAACTTTATTTCATTCAGATTTGAGGAGAGAATGTTACGCTACTGGCTCAAGCTTTACTGTAGATGCAGAATATCCAGCTGCTGATAGCCGAAGAAATAAGTAGTCCAAAGCCTGTGAAACACTCTCCAAGTGGTAAGGAGGCCACACAAAGAGAAATTTCTTTGGAAAGGAGAAGAGTATTTTACCTGCCTGACCTCACTGAAGTGGATAGATATAATACAGATTCAGTTGGGAGTGGAGCCATACCAGAATAGTAGGGTAATGGTAATCAAATAATAAACATAAACAAAGCCTAATTAGTATGTGAGGGTCAAAGGGAAGAAACACTACTCATTTGAAGACCGAAGAGCAGAACCACGAGTAGATAAGAAGCAGAGAAGAAATGCATGCTGACGCAGCAAAGTGGCGACGAAGCATGTCATTGAAGCAGGACGATGCCTCCTCAACACAGAAAAAAGAAAAAAAAAAACAGAAATGAAAATGTTACTCAAGTCTTTATGACATTCATAACAAATCTTCAAGTTTAGCACAATAATAATAACAAGCTATAAAAGACTTCAAATATTAAAGACGGAACTAAATGAACCTTGTTCAATCCAAGTTTGACAACATTAATCCACATTAGCCCCCAACCAGTTCTAAGTGAAAGCAGAAATGCAGACTAAGGGTTCGTTTGGGACGGCTTTTTTATTGCTTTCTAAAACGGAGTTTTAGTACAAATTTTTTTATTTTTGTACTAAAACTCCATTTTAGAAAGCAATAAAAAAGCTGTCCCAAACGAAGCCTAAATTTCAACTTCAGCTTCCCCATCCCTAAGCATCAGCGCCATTCCTGAAATGTAATCAATACAGTTGAATGCAAAATTGTAGCAAATAGTACTACATGGACTATCTTATGTGAGGTCAGGTAAAGGAAGCTGGATAAAGCTGCTACCCATTGGCAAAAGGTGGTGATCTGCTGTAGCTCCGTCCTCGGGGAGCAGGAGACCGGCTGTAGCTGCGTTTTCGAGGAGGCGACTTGCTGTAGCTCCGGCCACGAGCAGGTGATCTGCTGTAACTACGATGCCTTGGAGACCTCTCCCGAGGGCTGGGGCTCCTGCCAAAAGAATTTGCTACACATTAAATATGGCATCCTAGGCTCGTAAACAAGACATTTGACTAGTCGACACCAAACTTCTTAAATAAAAGATGGCTCCATCCATTGATGAACACAGTTCATGGAGTTATCAAACCATATTCTTTTACAAAGCCTCGAGGTCACTAAATAATTTTTTCCCCAGCAGGCCTATTCATTGATCAAAGTTCATCTAAGTAGCAGGAACTTTAAATTAAAAAAAAATCTTAGTCCAGTCGTAAGTTCTAGGATACGAATAATACGTAAGCCAAAAGCATCACATATCCTTAAAAATAAGCTCGAGAATGAGGATCCGAATACAAAACTACTGAGACAGTTTAACAAACAAAACTTGTATAGCATGGAAACTTGCAAAAATATATATATTAGTTTATTTAACCAATAAGAATACATGTTGTAAACTTAGAACCCCAAAATTCTTACCAAGGAGAGTAAATGATGTGCATGATGCAACCTTACAACACCAAGCATACTTACCACAGAACAACCGCTTCAGAAGAACGCAAATTACTGACTTAGAAGGGGAAAAATGTCACTAGTATCAAAACAGTATTAGATTGCCTGAAATTGCAAAATGATTTATACATGGAACCAGTCACTAGTAATGTGTTGAGTTACCTTCTACCATAACTTGGACTTCTACGATATCTAGGAGGACTTCTGCTCCGGCGACGTCCAGTGCCAAGTCCACCAGGGCCAATGCGTAAGCGACACTCACGAGCAAAATGACCCGGCTCACCACACTCATAACATTTCATATCAGAGCCGCCGCCACCACCACCACCACCACTCTGGCGGTCACGACCACGACCCCCTGCTCGACCACCACCTCCACCTCCACCCTTTGAGTTGTGTGATAACTCAACCCTCCATCCATTTTTACCTGAACAAAGAATTAATAAGCAGAAAATCACTCAAATAATTAAGGTAAGAAAAAAATCCTCTATAAGACTAACCGCAAAAAGCTGAAAAGTCACCTAATCATAAATACACACCGGTTCAAAAGAATATATTCACAAGGATGTAGATAAACCAGAGAATTCCAAAATAGTATCACATACAATTTTGTGCAACATAATGTTACAATTAGTATCACTTTTGGCTACTTGCATGATGATACAGGAGTACTTGTATCCTTTCATTACATTCAAATCAAACATATAAAGAACCAATGAAAAACAAAGAATATGTAATATACCAGAAATTGAGTATTTCCATCTGCAAAGAACGTTGGCAATAATGTACAAATTTAAAAAGCATTCAGAATATAGAGACAATGAAATTAAACAGGAAAATAGATGGTTTTTTGTCGTTTGCATAGCATCTTTTTGTTAATCAGAATAAAATCCAGTTACTTGCTGCCAGAGCATAAGTGTGTTGGATCATCCATCATCCAAAACTCGAAGGGGTCTGGCTTGCAATGAAGTTATTCATGTATTAGACACCCCACATCGAGCTGTTTCAATGCCATGTTTCCAACCTTATCAGTCATCTTGGAAGCTTTTCTAATTATTTCTTTTGTTAGTTTGCTTTAAAAAATAATAATAATAAAATTTCATAGAATCTTCAATCAACTATGAAGCACAAACACTTATAAATGTCTTTACCATCCATATCAAGCATATGTCAAACACTGAGCACGCCTCTAACACATCCTAGCACATCTCCTATTGTGTTCGTCCATAGTTGCTATCTACTCCTTGCTCTAGAGCTCCCAAGAAAATGGCAAAATCGCCTCAAAATACTAGAAAATATCCTATTAATATTACAAGCTTGTTACAAGGTTCTCTTAAATAAATCCTCATAAAAAGGTCTAATAATCGGCGCTTAAATCACGAAAAGCTTCACATGTACATCTATATCTCGAAAAGCTTCACATGTAATCTTGAAACCCAAGGATTGCTAGTAAGCCAATATAACTTCTCTCTATAGGCAAATACAACACTAATAGATTTTAATGATTTGAACATGAGATCCAATTGATTACGTGAGTTCACATGTACATTTATATCCTCCGATCCATCATGATATACCCCAATCATGATGACTTTACTCTTCACCTCTCAATTTCGAGTAAACCACCAAAGCTTCTAATCACTAACAAGTTCATTACAAGTCATTTAGAATGGGTTGGAAATACACAATAATGATAAAGCATAAAAATTATATGATTGCATTAACCAACTAACCAACACACGTTACTGGCTCTGAAACTTAACCATCAGGTTTAAGCAATTGGATGCCTGGGCTAGCTCTGCATATAGCAACAATTATTCCTTCATAAATGATAAAGGGGCTTAGGTGACAATTTAGAGAAAAATATAGAAACAATATACTCTCAAAAAAAAATTTATTCATGTGTTGCAGCATGCTGCCAGGCTACCCTCCCAATGAATGCTTGCTTTAGTAATCATTAGCTCCGTGTGGCTCACCCCTCCTATGTTTTGGCAAGCATAATGCTAACGATTTTTTAGCCTCGATAACCATTGATTGTTGCATCAACCCATTTCTTATTGACTCATGTGCTAGGTTGGCTTTTGAATGGTCATCAAGATGGTTGAACTTTTTTTGCAGTGACATAATATCAGGATGGTTGACTTTTTTTTGCAGTGACATAGCATCAACTTTTCTCTATTACTACCTAATTTGCTTCCTCATATACCTTGAAGATCACTTCCTCATCATACGCCCTAAGATACTGCTCTCCCTTCTGAATATCTACTTGCACTCTGCAAGTAGCCAAAAAAGGTCAACCCAAATGATAAGATATTTTGAGTTTCCACCTTCAATATCCCGAATAACAAAATCAATATATAATATGAATTTATCAACCTTCACCCGAACATCTTGGACAAGTCCTATCTGCCAACTATAAAGAGATTATTGTGAGATTTCTGCTAACTGTTAAATAGTGTTGCACCCCTTAGTAAGTGCAAAAATCTTGAATTCCTTCAACCTCCTCTCGTTAGTGAGTATTTATCATATAAATTTTACATAGATTTCCATCTTCTCCACCGCATCAATGGACGAAATGTTTATGTGAAGCTTCTTAAACATGCCCATTGTTTAAAATTGTGCAAAATTTTAGTGAGTATTTATCATATAGATTTTACATAGATTTCCATCTTCTCCACCGCATCAACGGACGAAATGTTTATGTGAAGCTTCTTAAACATGCCCATTGTTTAAAATTGTGCAAAATTAGATTTGCCTTGAGGCCCGCCTCAGCGCAATTCGAGTGAAAAATGCCTTGAGCTTTTTTTTAGGCTTACGCCTCAGTTTGACTGAGATCCACATTGAGGCATGCCTCACCTCACTGCACTGAGTGAGGCGTACGCCTCACCCTATTTATATATATTTTTTATTAAACTTGCATTAATCCTAAATTAAAGACGCAAATAAATAACACTATGCGGCTCAGAGCCACATCAACTTCCTCTCGAATGTCTCGACCTTCAGCCTGCCGCCTTCATCGCAGCACCACCGTCATAGTTGTCATTGGGAATAAATTTAAAGCCACACACCACTACCACCATCTCAAAAAATTTTGGAGTATTAATATTATTTTTATGCTGATAACAGACATTTTATGAAAGAAGATGACTGAAGTAAATGAAAAAGAAGTATATTATGAGGCATTGGACTCCACAGGATGAGGCAGGAGAGAGACCCATGTATTATGACGACAACTTAAATAAAGACCCCTTCAGTTTTGACAGTGCAGATGATTTCTGAGTTGTTGTAAACTATTTCAACTTTCTTTAGGAATTAAATGTGGATGAGTAGGGAATTGAGAAAGAAGTAATTTGTAGTTGAAGGTAATGTTACATGATATTTTTATGCAATTACTATATTTAATATTGTTTTGTTCTTGTAATATTTAGATTTCAATTCAATTTCATGCAATTTATCTCTTGCCACTTTATGTCTTGTACAATTTGTTTCATATGTATACTAATTTGTTATTTCATAATTCAATGGAAAGTTAATATGACATCATTTAACATATTATTTAGGTATTATATAAAAAATCACTTTTAACCGTTATTTTCATTTTGCACAATTTTTTTTCTTTTGAGGCTTATGCCTCCCCTCAAAAATAAAAAATGTCTCAATACCCAATTGCATAAATTTAAACCTTGAACACGCCCAAGAACTTCAAAAACTATTTGTCGAGTTTCTGTTTTTGGAATCTTCATGGGTATCATAGTTGTAGGATGAATGGAGGAAGATTGTTGGAGAACAATTTGAACTTTGGCCTTGCCACTTTTCAATCCCCTTCTCCCTGGTCTCCATCTGATCAGGTCATTCAACTCATTGCCACTTTTAGCTTGACAACCTTAACATGCTCAATTGGGTTTGTTTCAATGTTGCCTAGGAAAGCATCAAGATACCTTGCTAAAATTGCTATGACAATTAACCAATCTACAATTTAATATCTATCACAATCACTTGTTGTATAGTGGTTTTCTTCCTCTGTAAAGAAGCATTAGTCTGTGGCACGAACTGTGTAGTGGTAAATATTAGTTGAGAGAGAGCATCTCTTAATGAGACCTATCCCTCGTGTTGTGACAAGTAAACAAGATGTTAAAATTCAAGATGTTAATGAAATCCATTGGATGTCAAGAGCCAACTATTTGCTTAATGTTGGGGTACAATTGCTCTACCCTATATTGTAAGTACTAGTGTACAAATTGTTTTGTTGAAGTTGATTCCGAACAAAAAGTGAGTACTACAGATGAGGATGTGCGAATGAGTTGTTGACCTAGCAAACAATGCTTTGATGTAAGCATCCATAGAAATTACGATAGAGTGCAAGGGTGTCAATGGTATTTACACTTAATGTACTGAGCTACTTCGTTAGTAAAGCAACTTCAATAGCAAGTGTTGTGATTATATCAACACCTTGATCAGCAACTACAATCTTCTTGAGAAGTCTCCGATCACTTGACCACTGATAATTGTTCATGTTCATTTCCTATAGAAAATCTTAGGCCACCTACGTTTTGCTCATAAATGTGACGCTAGATGCAGCATCAATTAGTATCCATATAAGTCCAGCAAAGATCTAGACTTGCATCCATTTAGGCAAATGGTGATGCAAGCACTTAACAAAAATTTGTACATTCCCGAGCTTCATAATATATTTCACCCTCCAATTGGGCAAAGTTGGAAATCTCGACTAGCATCCTTGTGGTCTTCACTGGCATGAAGTATTTAGACAAAAAGAATTTGGGATAAATCATCCCAACGAATTATCACTCAGCAAAGATTCAAGCCAAAATTTTGCCCAATCTCACAGTAAAAATAGAAACAACCGTGAGGGAATAGCATCGTCAAATGAGGCTCCAAATGTGTCACAGTTTAAAGAAATTTGCGACATGATAGTTGGAATCTTCAATTGCCAAGCCTCCAATATTAAATTAACTGAAGGTTGGGTTAGTGTATTACGTTTAAATAGAAATAATCATCAAGTAATAAAAAATTATTATAAGGGTGGGTGAAAATAAAACTCATTGAGTCCCAAAAAAACAAAAACAAAAAAGCATAGAAAAAAAAAATGAATTCTTCCAAACACTTAAACTAAAGCAATTTGACCTTTAATGAAAGATATAGTAGTGGGCAGCAAACTTAGGTGATTTAGGCATGTAGAGGACAAAAGATAAAGAAACATGTGAGGTAAATAGAACAAATATAAAATAAAAGTGAGAGAAATAATAGACCAAAAGTAACAAGATTTAAAGCTATGTAAAAAGAATTGCATAACATAAAAGTACCACGGCCCGTAGCACAAAAAAATGTAGAACTCATAAAGCTGATCAAACAAATTGGGCAGATATGCTTAATGATGATGAAAGCTAAAACCATATATTAAACTTTATCTACTCATTTCTTCAATTGGAATATTAAAAGTGAACACATACAAGAAAATTATGTAAATCAAAAGGAAAAACAAAGGAACAGCATTTCAGGGTTAGTACTCCTATCTCCCCAGATATTTGAACTAATAATAAAAGAAAGCACCACATCACCACAAATCATAACGTTCATATGTTCTACTGGAAGATAAAACAATTATAACTTTAAAAATCAGTTTTTACATGAAAGGATTGTAAATAAGTAAAGTTTTGAAGGATTATGCATCATGTTACAAATAAATGCAATATAAGAGTTAAAAAAGAAAACCTGAATTTATAATTCTTAAAATTTTAAATGTTAGACACAATTCTATAAATTTATTGTCAAGGATTGTTCCTTGACCCCCCTTGCTAATTTTCATGTATGAAAAAAGAAATTTATTTGATAGACATTATCCCAAGGTTTGAACAAAAGTGTATCAAAAGGTCACGAAGGCATCAAGTACTAAGGTTACATTTCTAGTTGCTGGTAAAGCAGCACGTGCACTAAAAGCACGTTGTCTAAATTATCTTAATTTTTATTGAGCTTAACGTTTTCAAAGTTTGTGCTTTAAATTCGATTTTTTTGCAATAGCTCAATTTTTTTTAAAACACAATTTTTTTTTTGGGAAAACAAATTGATGGAAAGCCAAGTTTCAGAGTAACCCTATCTTTTTAGAAATTCTGAAACTATATGTGCCAATTGAGAAAAGTTGCATGCAAAGATGCCAGATTTTTTAAGAAAACTTGAAACATTCCTTACCTAAATTTACAGTTTTGCCACGAGAGAGCATTTATGGGATTTAAAAAGAGATTTAAATAAGGCTCTTTGTTTGATACAGACGAAAGATGGTAATGGGATATGGAGGACCAGGATTTTCTTTCAAAATAAAAGAGAGTTTTTCTCTCACACTAAACAATAAGAGGCTTTTTAATAATAGTATATAGATAAGTGTAGTTTTGCTCCGTTGGTGCAGAACAACAGTGAGCAGAGCAAATAGATAATTGCTTTGTAAAGATAATGTTTTTACAGAATCAACAATTAACATTATACATAAGGTAGAACAATAATAATATAGCATGGTTATTAAAAAATGCAACATTAAAAAAAGATGACATGTATAACATAAACTAAAAAATGATTTAATGAATAATTAAAGCAAGCTGATCAATAAGTAATGTTCTTAAGGCAAAAATATGAATAGCAGCTTATTTCCATACCATCCATTTCACGAATTGCATCTTGCGCATCCCTATGGTCATCAAAGTCAATAAAAGCATAGCCTGGTGGCCTTCTAGCAACCCAAATGCTACATGAACAATAAATTTGAGAAATAATAAGATACAACTCATTTCCTGGCATTCAATAAAATAAGAAAACTAATCAGTTTACATCATCCAAATTAACTGTAATAGCAAAACATAAAAAAAAAAAACAAGAAGAGTGTTTGAATTGTCTTCACTTTTCCTTCTGCAAATGAAACACTTGTCACTAAAATCAATGACTTTAATAGCAAGTACTATTTCCACTTTGTCAAATATAGTCGTAAACAGCCAATACAAAACATTAGTCATCCTGTTTAAATTCCAAAACCATTTATAGATTATTTGGAATAAACTTAGCAATTCTAAGATATTCAGTCAGTAGCAGAAAAGTTTATGTAATTAATAAACAAAAAGATTCTGGGAAAAACCTCTGTATCAAACTATGAATATTAGCAATCAGTTTCATTTTTGTGTGCTGTAATGCAGATTGAAGGAATGATAATGAATACGATGTTGTTATAGTTACGAATGCCTTAATGGACAAGGAAAAAAAGATCGTTTGAATGTTGTTGAAAGATTTAGATATCTTAAAACCTAAATAACCAATACATATCTGTTGACCAGAAAATCAAACCACCAATCTCATACGGAGTTCTAAATGTTTGAGGCCCTGATAACATGTTTTTAGATGCATGCTTGCAGAATGAGAGTACTTCCAACATATATCATTATTTTGACAGTTATTTGAGAACTTGCAAGATTCTAGCAATCCTAGCAGCACAACTTAAAGCTCCAGTTAATTCTTTGTCCACAAAAAAGTGCATATATGTAAAGCAAGCCAATGTCTCTCAAACTTTAAGTTTTTCTAGCTAGAGGTCTATAATATTGATATTTTACTTTTTTATTTATTTTATCGTTTGTTTATTTCCAAACAACATAATCAACACAATGACTTGATCCAAACATGACAAAAAGATTTGCATTCAATTTCTCTTTGGCTTTGAAATATTATACCATGTCAGGAATCTAGATTGGTGTATGTTTTCTGCTGATGATATTCTTCTTGTTGATAAGACTAGAGAGGGAGTTGAAGGTAAACTTTAATTATGGAGGTTAACCTTAGAGTCTAAAGATTTTCGCTTGAGTAATCTAAAACTGAATATAAGAGTGTAATTTTAGTAGTAATAGACCTAGTGAGGGGATTATGACTTTGGGCGATCAAGTCATTAATAAGAGTACACGTTTTAGATATCTTGGATCTTTTGTTCATAGTGATGGTGAAATAGATGGGAATATTATCAGCATAATTCAAGTTGGATGGTTGAAGTGGAGGAATGCATCGAGCTTGTTGTGTGATAGAAAATTTCCCCTCAAACTTAAAGGAAAATTCTATAAGATGGTGGTAAGACCTGCAATGATTTATGGTGCCAAATGTTGGCCATTAAAAGAGAAGCATAATACTGAGTTAGTGTTGCAGAGATGAGGATGCTCAGGTGGATGAGTGGCTTTACCCTTAGAGATAGGATACGAAATGAGCATATAAGTGAAAAGGTTTAAGTAGCTCCAGTGGAAGATAAGATTAGAGAGAGTCGTCTTAGATGGTTTGGTCACATAAAACGGCGACCTTCCGATGACCCGGTTAGGAAAGTAGAGGTATTAGATTTGACTTATGTTAAGAAAGATAGAGGTAGACCTAAAAAAACTTGGTTAGAAAATATTAGAATGATCCTTCTTTATTAGATTTAAAAAAGAATTTGACTTTTAAGAAGACACAATGGAGAAAAAAGATTCATGTAGCCGACCCCACATAGTGGGACAAAGGCTTGATGTTTGTTGTTGTTGTTGTCAGGAATCTAGATTGATGTGTGAAGTTAAAATGTTAGTTGAGACAAAAAGTTTATTGCCATCTACTACAATGTTATATAATGGAAGATAGTAAATAAACAATGCTTCACGTTCAAAAAATTCAATAAATGGAAATAAAAGCAAAAGTATGATGTGTGTCCTTTGAACTTCACACATTTCCACTTATATGAAACTTGTGAGGATGGTTTCAGATATGTCTACCTGTCGTCTATGAAGAGAACAAAAAAGGCTTGCACTTGAAAGAAATAAAGGCATGTGTCTGTAACAATGTTAATGTTAAGCAATTCGATCATAAAATTAGTGGGAATAACAGATATTAACAATATTAAAGAATGTGAACTAGCAATGCCTATGTCACCAATAAGTAGAGGCTACAAAAAATGGAATGAATGCAAAAAGATAGTTAGAAATTGATGGCAAGAAAAGATACATAAAGATCCAGAAAATAGGAATGAAATATTGCTATTAAAATTCATGTCCTCGCAGCATGCGTATTTCTACATATGGAATGATTACGACAGGACATTGCGATCAAACATATACTAAAGTTAGAAGCCACGTTATTTGACAGTTTGCTAGAGTTAGAATGAGTCTTAGAAGTATGATAAAATGAGTTCAAGCTTATTTTGTTATTCAGCTCAACTCTACTAGGAGCCATCTGATTTAAACTTCTAATGTAAGACTTCTCGAGAAAATTATTTTCTTTTGTTAGCATATAGTGGCAGAAAAATGCTGCATTCGTGCATAAAGATAACCCAAAAGTCAGGAAAAGACTAAAGATCATGATAATGAATGCTGCAAGATGAATAAAGTGAAGTTATCTTTCCTAAACATACCTTCTTATAACTCCATACACTCGAAATTCATCCTCCAGATCCCTTTCATTCACTCGTGGATCTATATTTCCCACATAAACACGTGACATTTCCTTTAAACACAACCTGGCCACAAAAAAGATCACTTGAGATAAAACAGAGCATAACAAATGCAGAAAGTGGAGAAGCATATTGAAAGTTTTGTGAAAAAAATGGCCACAACTCAAAACATGCTCCAATAGAACCGTAGAAATAAATGTTCAGCATAAGTATATCAAATGAAGCACCCAATACCAAGATATCCTTTGCCTAGAGCAATGCCTAAGTGCCCAAACCATAAAACTGACTTCATTTGGATTAAATGAGAAAAAAGGAGAGAAAATGAAATCCTATCAGATGACAATGAATTAGCAACAACTGATTTAAGCTTTCAAATCATTTTTTTCCCTACATTTCCTTTCACTCAAATTCCAAACATCCAAACAGAGAAAATGAGAGTTTCATGGGAATTTCTTAATAGGTAAAGAAAGTTACGTTTGAAAAAATTTAAAAATAAAGGACCAATGAGTTTCCTACAGAGAACAAGAAAGGAGAACCCTTCACAACCATCAAAAAAATAATAACCCGTTCCATTCACCAAAATAACTATGATGAATATCTTCTTAAACCATAATCTGCCAGATATAAAGAAGAGATCTTAATGAGCATAAACCAACAAATTTCATGCAAGAAGAAACTAACAATGAAATTTCAAGGGTTCGAACAGGAGAAAACGTGATAACTAGCAAATTACCATAAAATATATAAGTTTGACTCTTACTTCCAATCTATACATGGAAAATATACTACTCAAAAACTGGAATTCAAAGAAAAACAAGAAATCATGCATGCAAGATCTTTCGTTTTATGTAGGGTTTCACGTAAGGAATGGAGCGGATTCAAAACAGAACGCATCATTAGCAGACACCAACGTAGCAGCGTAGAAAGGGGAATCTGAGGTAACCAGCCATACCTTTCCGGATCTTATGGATCGAGGGAATGCACGCTCAGAACAAGAGATCGGCCGAGAAAACCCTAACGAGGTCTCGAATATGACCTTGCCGGGAGCAATTTAAAGAGGATACTGCTATAGTTTATAAGAATTTACATAAATACCACCAGTCTTCCGAATTTATAAATTGGTGATAAATTGGAACTTTTAATGCATAAATTCTCAAAACATGACATGTCGAAGAAATTTATATTGAATATTCTGATAAAATAATTTATTATAAATGTTAAAGTTTTAATCTATTTTATATTATATTAATTTTAAAATAATTTTAAAAATATTATAAATTTATTCATAAATTTATGACTTAGTGGTTGTTTGGCTGTGTATCAAAAGAGTGTAAAGTATTACAAATACAGTGATTTTAAGAATATTGATGTTTGGTTTGAAGTAAAACAGATGCAATGTAAATTTTGGTGCATTTTGAATTCACTTTCCAGCTCTTTTTTTTTATTTAAAAATTCTTATATTTGAGTGAGTTTCAAATGCGCTGAAAAATTCATTGTAATTGTCATCGCCCGGCCGCCCGCTACAGCCACCACCACCCACCACTAGCAGCGACCATCGCCGACCACCGCCGACCACTAAGAAGTACATACTACCCGTACTCAGTTCATCTAGTAATACTAAAATGTATCAAGATCTCCATAAACTATTCTAGTGGACATGTATAAAGAATGACGTGACAAATTTGTAGCCAAGTGCTTTAGGTGGTCAAGACAAAACACCAGGAATTTGGTGGTATGTTGCAACCTCCTCCTATTCTTGAATGGAAGTCGAATGAGATTGCTATAAACTTTGTTGTTAACTTGCCAAGATCAAAACAAGATCATGATGTAGTTCGGGTGATGATAAATAATAGACTTACCAAAACAACTCATTTTTTACAAATCAAGTAGAATTACTCAATTGAGAGGTTAGCAAAGATCTACATGGATAATATCGTTCAATTGCATGGAATTCCACTCGTCATCTTGTATGATAGATATAAAAGATTTACTTCAACATCGTGGAATGTGAATCCCCGAGATCTAAATTTAGAAGAATTGTCTATTTTATCTCTTAATTAATCTATCATAGCCATTAATCTCACTTATTAAATAAAAACCAGCATAAGCAATTAATAATAATTTTCATCAATTTACAATTATGTTCATTTCTAAAATTTTATGTAAAATAATCAAGAATTCATTCTATAATATCAATCTATCATTACTTAGTTCTGCTATAAAAAAACTCAAAATATAGAAAACAAAACTAAACTTGATTCTGGTCAACCTATCGTGTTCACTTGCGATAGACCAGCCTAAGATCAAAATTTTGAGAAACTTTTTAGATTTTTTCATCTTCTTGAACTCGAACTAAAAATAAATAATGAATCATATATAAAACTACTAATAACTTTCAATATCCAAAAAATAAATCATCCATAAAATTTATTTTTCATTACTCATAAGAATGCATATATAATGTTTATGCTACAGTACATGTTTATAAATTGAGCTATAAAATATAATGTGTTTAAGTGCATAAATTCATTGAATTATCTCTAATCAAATCAGGTCAAAATAGGTGGAACAATGCACGGCTTCGAAGGTATTACAATTCTACCCTCTTTACAAAATAATAATCTTCGTTGTTTCATAACTCAGATCACCGAATTAAATCATAATAGAGTTACTTTATTTTAGATTATTTCTTTCAAGTAGCTTCTCTTTCTGTCATATTTTTCTTTTGAACCTTAGCCATCATAATCTGCTTATTTCTTAACATTCTAACATCACAAGCCATAATCTCTCTAGTTCCTCTTTATAGCTAAAATTTGTATGTACCTCGACTTCTTTTGTAGATATTTTGTTTTCATGATCTAATACTGAATAGAATAGTGCTAGTGTTAACCTCACTTTTAGCTGAGGTAACTTGATCCACATCTACCTATGATTGCTATGATCCACAACCACTAGATTTTCAACTCATAGACTCGCAATCATTCAGCTTGTAATTGACTAACTTATAGCCATCAATCTACATCTCAATTCACTTCAATCAATCATCATCAAGAAATCAATGAACATACACTCTATTAAGCTTCAATCATCCATGGATGTCCAATAACATTGATCAATCATCAATTCTACAATCAACATCAACTATACTACAATCACCTAGATAATTGCAGCCCTGCATTGCAATCAGGTAGCTCAGTGTATTGTCTTGCATAATGCACTGTCCCCTTTACCTCAATCATGAACCAAACCACTTCACTAGGAGTTTCATATGGTATATCATCCATAATTAAATCCTTCATTCATTAACTAATCCATCAGACCCATTTGAGCTAGCTCAAGCTAACCCAATTGATCATACACATCACCTACACTCGATTTAGCTCTAGATGAACTCTAGTCTCCATCAAATTCCTATGATCACCATTCACTACAGGAAAACTCATTATTACCGGCGGACTAAATCCGCAAAAACACATAGATAATCCGACGGAACCTTAGGTTTCCGGCGCACGTTTCGGCGGAAATTCATACGCCGGTTTCGATCGCGTCGATAAATTTTTCCCGACGAATATAATACGCCGGAAAACGTTCCGGCGCACGTACCGACGGATTACCGGCGTAAAACATCGGGTTGGTGCCGACGACTTGCAACCGATAAATTCTGGCGCCATATGCGACGGTAAGTTTCTGTCGGATTGTCCGCCGGTAAGTACCGGCGGATAAAACGCCTTACCGGCGGATAAAACGCCACAAGTTCACCGTAGACAACCCACGGTTTTGTTTGCGGCGCAAAATCGGCGCCGGAAATAGGCGGCGGAACTGGCGCCGGAAGATGCGCCGGTAGTTGCTGACGGAAGGAAGACGTCGATACGCATAATACAATTCTTGATCCTCCTGTCGCTTATGAGTGCGACTATGCAATTCAACAGGAGTTGGTTCTCTACCAAGCATAGCTTTCTGTTTGAATTAAGAGAATTTTATTAATACAAATTAAAGAACAATTTTAAAAAATATTTAAAATTCATTACCAAACGACGCCTGTGCTCAGTATGTGGAACAGAGCCGCCTGTATGAAGTGAACTACCCAACCCACCAACATCAGAAGCTCTGTTCTGTCGATTTTGATCCCTCCTCCTACTGTACTCTTCGCTGCCCCAAGCTGCATTCAACTCAGCCCATATAACCTCTCCAATCCACAATGGTCGCTTCCCA